AAGAGTTGTGAACCAGAGCATTTGGCCAAAGAAATTTCTAAGCAGCAAAGCATTAAGGAAGGTGCATGGTTGCTTTTAAGAGCTTACTCTGAGTTATGGCGGCAAAATCATGATGTAAAGCCAGAATTTAAAAGGGAATCAGAGCGTAAAGACTTGGAAAATTTGCAGCCTGGCCATGCAGTAAAGAAGTGGAAAGCCAGTGAACAAGGCAAGTGTGAAGCAGATAGACTTGTTGCTAAAGACATTATCTTGGCAGTGAGGCAGCCAGATGCTAATAGCAGAGAAAATGAGAGGAAAGCCCTGCAGGCATTTGAGAAGCCTGGAAGGGTGACCCACCCATCACAGACCCTGAGGCCTAGAAGGACTGAGTTATTCTGGAAGACAGACCTGCAGCGCAGCTGTCCTCAGGATCCTGCTCCCTGCATCCCAGCTGCTCCAGCTGGAGCAGCCCCAAGTGTGGTTCGTGCAGCAGCCCTGGAGAGTAGAGGCCCGAAACCTCGGTGGCGTCCACGTTGTGTTTAAGTCTGTGAGCGGGCAGGATGTGAGAGCAGTGGAGGTGTGACATCCTCCACCCAGATTCCAGAGGATGTATGGAAAAGCCTGGGGACCCAGGCAGAGCCCTGCCGCAGGGGTGGAGCCACCACAGAGGCCATCTACTAGAGCAATGCAGAGCAGAAATGTGGGGTCAGAGTTGCAGCAGAGAAACCCCAATAGCATCATGCCTACTGGAGCCGTGAGAGCAGGACCACCATGGAGACCCCAGACCTTTGGAGCTACCAGAGTGGAACACCAGCCTGGGAGAGGTGAAGGGTGGCCCAAGACCAGGAAATCCAAAAGAGCGGAGCTGCCCAAGGACTTGGGGACCCAACCCCCTCACCAGTGTGCAGAGGCAGTCGAACATGGAATCAAGGTACCTGATTCACCAGCCTTGAGATTTAATGCCTGCCCTGCTGGGTTTCGGACTTGTTTGGGACCTGTTTTTCCCTTCTTTTGGCCTATTGCTCCCTTTTGGAATGGGAATGTATACCCAATGCCTGTTCCACCATTGTATCTTGGCAGTAGATAAATTTTGTTTTGACTTTTACAGGTTCAAAGCTAGAAGGATTTTTGCTTTTGGTCTCAGAGGAGACTTTGGACTTTGGACTTTTAAGTTGGTACTGGAGCAAGCTAAGACTTTTGGGACTGT